CTGCCCAGCTGGGCTCTGCTTTCCTCTGGCATCAAACTCCCACTGCTCAAACCTCATCAGCACCAAATAGACACAAAGCAGCCCTGCAAACAGTAAGCAACATTACTGGGGCAGGGAGCTGGAACGAGACGGGCTCTGACAGCTGCTTCCACGAGGCAAGCAAGGTGTCAGCACGCACTGCTCCTCCTGCACAGCTCCAAGCCCCGCTCCACGCGCGCTGCACTTTGGCACACAGCACCTCGGCTCTACCTGCACACTGGGTGGGCAGTGAGCTTGCAGCCGTTGCCTGCTGCTCCTGGGATGGCGGCTGAGCCGTGGGGATGTGGGGAAGGGAAGCAGCACGTGTGCCCAGGCTGAGTCATGGTGAGGTTTGTGCCTGTTGTGAGGAGTTCAGATATGATATATTCGCTCAGCAGAAATCCGCTCGTCACCCGCCTCTCCCCACCTGTCTGTCCATCCGTCCCAGTTCTTTCACGTAGTGTCTGTGGGGAAGAAAATGAAAGTCTCTGCCTGGAAGGCTCGGGTTGCTCCTCAGGGCTGGAAGGTCGGAGAAGCAAAAGCTGGTGCTTGGTATGCAGAGCACAGAGCTGGCAGGCAGTGACTTAGAGCTGCAGATGTGAGACACCGCTGCACCGCAGCACCCAGAGGGACAGGGGGCTGCACGGGGGGAAACGGTGCCAGCAGGGTCTGGAGAAGACTGTGGGGCAAGCAGGGGAGGGCTGGAGGCTCTGATCTCCTCTCTGTGCAGTGGGAATGGGGCACCTCGCTGCTACCCCCCCTCACTGAGCTGTCTGCCCTTGGCTGCTCCGTGCCCAGGTGATTTGAGCTTTGAATCAGCTCTGAAATTGCCTTGGCTGAAACTCTGTCTCTATTGTTTGCAGTCTGCGGGAGCATCATTGAACATGTCAAAAAGATGAATTGGAGAGAAGAGGGAAAAAAAAAACGAGGCGAGAGGAGTGCTTGGAGGGGAGAGAGGCACGGCTGGGCTCCCCTGGGGCACCCTCTCCCTTCAGCCAGGCTCTCCTGGGTGCTCAGCTGCCCCTGTCCTCTGTGAGGAGCATTCAGGTATTGTTGATGCTGGTCCTTGAAAGGATCGGGCCCAAGGGTTGAAGTGTGGGGGTCTTCCATCCGTTTGGGGTTATTGGTGTGTGCTGGAGAACCTGGCCGTCCCTCGTACACCATAGGGAACCATTCCTGGTGCCAGTCCTGGGGACACAGCTGGTAGGGCCAGCAGCCTGCTCCAGGGCACAGCCACTGGGACAGTCCCTGCCCCAGGGAGCTCGTTAGCTACGGACAGATAATGAGGATTTGGGTTCAATCCCACAGGAGTAAGGTGCTGACGCTGCATTATGGGAGGTCGAAGAGGCAGTTGTTAACACTGCTGGGGATGCTGGGGCAAATTAATCGCCTATTAAACGAAACGTCAGCCAGAAATGGATGAAAACTGGTGGTGCTTTTAGGGCTTGCGTTTTACAAAATGAATGTTCTTGTGCATGGTGGATTTGCATATTCAAACCCGGCTGCCTCGGAGGGGCTCTCCTTCTGAACTGGGTGATACCAGAGGCTAAATTGTGTAAATTCGGTTCTCCAAACGCTCCTCTAAATGACTGGAATGATCTAATTACATAATCCATTGCCACAGGAGATGATTTTTCAGAGCCTGAGCCCCTTTGTTTCTGGAATGTACGTCACCTCGCTCAGGAGCAGCAGCGTTGAGGAATTGTCGCTGCCCGCAGCAGCCGCCGTCCCCTGGCACAGCCAAGGAGTGTGCATGGGGGGGACCTGGTCCCCATCGCCTCTCACACCTGAAACCACGGAGATTGATCTGTGTGAAAACTTGGCGAGGCAAATCCCGTGTGTGTCAGGTTAAATACGGCTGGTTTCAAATAGCAACTGATTTGCATGGGCTGATCAAGCTAATTGCTACAGCGTCTGCAGGAACGCAGAGCATCACCAGATCCCTGTGCAGCAGGAAGGCGGACGGAGCTGCAAGCGTTGCAGGAGCCACAGTGCCATGTCCTCTGTGAGCTGTGGGTGGGGATGGAGCCGTGTGGAGGCTGGCAGAAAGGCACAGCCCTGTTGCAAGTCGTGGCTCTTTCTGGTCGTTGGTCAGGGATGTGTGCTGCAGGCTGGTGATGGCCTTTGAGTGCCCGGAGGTTTGCTGTGGGTTTGGAAGCAAGGTTGTGTTTCCCACTCCTGCACTCATCTCTGAGTCTCGCTGCCTGGTGTTGGAGCAGACGTGCTGTGTAATGGGGAGCAGGCTCTGCTGGGCAAGGGCCAGCTGTGTCCCATGGGGGACTGTGCCTGCATCTCCTGCATCCCCTGGGGACCATGGGCACAGATGCCACCGCAGGAGCAGCTCCGTGTGCCCATGATGGGTGGGTGAGGAGCCGTGCTGCTGGTGAGCTGTGCCTCCTGCCTACAGACGGAGAGACGCCGTCTCCCGAGGCTGCGTTCCGGTGCAACGTTTGTACACACCACGTGTGGAACACGGTGTGCGTGGGTGACTGTGCCTCTAAATATAGAGCTGGCTACCTGGGACGTACGCCGTGTTACTGAGCCTGCTCCAGGGACGGCTTCATTGCGGGTTGTAAAGAGATTATAAGCAAGTCTACGGTAAGCCTCTCTGCTGGAAACGCCAGCAGCCCCAGGCAGAAAGTGTCGTGCTCACAGCTCCCCCCACCCCTTCTGTCTTTTAGTGCTTTTTGGTGATGTTGCCTTTATCTGCTATCAGCTCAAGGGTTTTACCGAGCCTCCGAGCATCAGGTCTCCCAGCAAGGGTGGGCAGTGAGCTCGTGTGCTGTGATTGTCACTGTAGTGCCAGTTGGGGCCGATGACAGCCACCCCTCAGCCTGGCATTGCTCACGGAGGCGTCCCTCAGCCCTGCTCCAGGATGGGACACGCAGCTGTGGCCGCTGTTCATCCCTGCACAGGGCAAGGCTGGCTCTGCAAGGAGCAGATTCTCCTTTCAAGGGACAGATCCTGTCTCAGGGACTTCTGCATCCAGCCCCAGGTGGCCCCACGGTGACACGGGATGGGGACAGTGCTCATCCTGCAGCCCTTCCCTCTATATGCTGCGCTGTGCCAGAAGGAAGCAGCGCTCCCCTAAAGCCCTGGCAAGCTGTCAGCTGAGCAAATTGCTCTCTGTAAATCCCGAGTGAAAGTCCTGGGATTCGGGAGGGCCTGAAGGAAGGCGGGTGATTGGATTTTCAAGCCACTTTCTGCCACGCCGGGAGAGACGGGCTGACAGCCTCCTGAATCTTCCCGTTCAGACAGATTGTGCCCTCTCGATAATGGAATGGAAGCGATCCATAACTCTCCACCTTTTATTTAACTCCCCCCTGGACTTTCATACACAGTCATAAATTGCTCCTCCCGCAAATCCTTCTCTGGGCCAGCTCCTCCACGGCTCCTTTGCCTCACATCCAGCACACTTTTGGGGGGAGCAAAATGAGGAAAAGGGGGAGGAAAGGGTGCTGACATACCCTGGTGGTGCCCTGCGTGGGGCAGGCTGCCTTGCTCCCCACCGTGGCCGAGCTGTTTGCTTGCAGCCACTCCAGAAAGCCAGCTTTGTACAACATGAAGGTCGACGAGGTTGAAATTGGCGTTAGCTGCGCTGTATCTCACCCGAAGCACACGTTGCCCAGCTGAGGGAGCAAAGGAGAAAAGTGCTGCAAATTCTGTTTCATTGCTTGTCTCTCATTAATCCCCTTCTGTTCGTTTTTAGCCCTGTTTGCTGTGTTCCCACAGTCATCACAGAGAGAAAACAAAACTCACCCTTAAAAGCTTGTTCCAGGTTGCCCCTTTGAACGTTTCAGGCACCTGCACATGGCTGCTGGCTCATAGGTCTGGTCACCACTGCCTGGGGCTGGCTGTCAGCAGCACAGCTGGTGACACAGGGCCATCTCCCCTCTTTGCAGACGCTGCTGCCTGAGCCATCAAGAGAGGTGCCACATCTGAGCCTCCCGCGACAGCCCCCGGAGCACCAAGCGCCGTGCATCCACACCAACTTGTGAGTGAGTGAGACCTGAGGGGAAAGGGAGGAGGAAAAACCAATGCCACAACAAGGGGATGTGTGGGGTGCCCTCTGAGCAACCGGTCTGCAGGCAGGAGCCTGGAAATTGGGGTATCAGTGGGGATGGCAGGGAGAAGAGCAGCGCTGCCTTCATCCCTGGGGCCAATGCAGCGTCTCAGCCCCAGCCAGGACAGCCCAGCCCCACACAGCCAGCTGGGATCTGCTCAGTGGGTTTTCACTGAACTGCAAAATGGCTCGGGTTGGAAGGGACCTCAAGGATCATGAAGTTCCAACCCCCTGCTGCAGGCAGGGCCGCCAACCTCCCCATTTCACAGCAGCCCAGGCTGCCCAGGGCCCCATCCAACCTGGCCTTGAACACCTCCAGGGATGGACGGGGCATCACAGCCTCTCTGGGCAGCTGTTCCAGCACCTCACCGCTCTCATAGCAAAGAACTTCCCTCTGACATCCAATGTAAACCTTCCCTCCTTGAGCTTAAAAACATTTCCCCTTGTCCTATCACCATCTACCCTTGTGAAAAGTTGATTCCCCTTCTGTTCATAATCCCCTTTTAAATACTGGAAGGGTTTTGCTGGCAGCCTGGTGGCAGCAGCTCCCCTGCCTCCTGATGGTGTTTCAGAAAAATTTTGTTTTGATCCTCTTCTCGGCAAGGTGCTTCTGTACGTCTGAGGAGAACAAAATCTCTTAAATAGCCAAAAACCGTAAGGAGAATGAGAGGAGAAAACGCTGGGAGCCCCCAGATAAAAGCAATTTGCATATATAGGAAAACAAGGTCTGCAGCAGCGTGGAAACCCACACAGATGAGGCGGCTTGATGTCTATGGGAGGCATCAAGACAGGGATGCCGGCTCGTCCCCACGCATCACCATCTCACACGCACGTTCTTTGCCCTTGCAGGCGCCATCTGCCCCGCGGTGCCACCAGCCAGCACCTGCCCTTGGGCACAGCTGCCTGGTGAAAGCTCTGGGACTGGTGCACGTGGGGCCACGTCCCTGCCACGCTCGCATGCGCCTCGAGGAGCCCAGGGCAGCAGCCAGATACGTGCAGGTGGGTACACAGCTGGTGGGCAGGCGTGGGGAGGAGGGGTCATCCCTGCTGGCTCATCCTGCTGGAAAATCCCCCCAGGTTTTGGCAAGCAGTCGTGCAGCAGCTCCAAAAGCAGATGTTGAGCCTCAGGGCTTTAGTAGCTGGAAATTGCTTTTCACACCCACTTGAATTTACAGCCCCCCCAGCATCTCAGGGGGGGGAGTTCCAGGCTGGGCGGCAAAGCCCTTTTTTTTTTGCATGTTTTAAACCTTGTTGTGTCGATGCCCTCTCGTTCCCATGTGGTGTTAGCTCCCTGCCCGGGGTCAGCCTGTCTTTATAGCCTCTTTTCTGTTCTTTCTCCTGCATCTCCTCTCCCAGCCTTTCACTTACTGGGGTAAAATGCTGTTTGTGGACATTTGCCTTTGCAAGGTGCTGTGGGGGCAGCTCTCCTCATCGTCTGTGATGCTTCTGTACGTTTCCAAAGGACTTCACAGCACTCGTGTTGGTGCACAGCCTCTCCCTGGTGCAGAAGCTGTTTTTTCTATTGACCTGCGCCTCTCGGGAGGTTGCCTGCAGCCATCTCTGTTTGCTGTATTTTGTGTTAATTACCAGTGTTTCTCTGGGAATGGCTCCTCTCCCACTTCCCTTCTGCACCCAGGCAGCAGCAGGCAAAACCTCCCTTTTGGGGGGGGGTGAGGATTCTGCACCCGTCTCCTTCCCCTCTCCACCACCCTCAGTGCTTTCACAGCTCCTGCAGTTCCTACCTGGCAGAGCTCCTTCCTGCCCTCTGCCTCTCGCCCAGATGCCAGTACCATTTATGAAGCTGCAGGCTGAGCAGCAGAGAGCTGTGTCTGCTGCTTTCTTATTTACAGCTGCGTTGGCTGCCTTGCTGGCTCCTCTGGCAGCTCCAGGGGATGCTGCTCCCACCTGCTTGTTCCTGCCCTAAAAAACCCAAGCATTTCTTCCTTGGAACAGTCTCCACCTGGCACCTGGCTTGACACAAGTCTGTACCAGTACAGACCCGGCTCCAGCAGTGATGCTGACCCTGGTGAGCCCCTGTGAAGAGCTCTGCTGGTTTATCAATTGCTCCCTAGCACCAAAAGTGCAATCATAGACAGAGCACGTGGGGTAACAAAGCTCCAGGCCATGTGGCAGGGCCACATGCAGCAACTTTGTGGAAATGAGATGTGAAGCCTGGGTCACTGCCTTCTTTAGCTGTCCCCATCCATCCCTGGCCTGTCCTGCTGCTGGTCCCCAGCTGCAGGAGTGCTGTGGGCTCTTTCTGGGTTGGAGACCAGCGTGCAGGGCTGGAGCTGCTCCCCATATGCTCCCCATAAAACAGCTCTTGGCCCATTCCATGGCATTTCCTGCCTCTTCCACACACACTCAGGATCCCACATGCCTCACAAGCCGTTCACCAACTGCAGCCCGGCAGATGGAGGAGCTGGGCAGAGCTCTGCAGCAGGAGGGACGGGAATCCAAAGGCTCTGTTTGTTCTCGGGTGTTTGTGGCAGCACAGGAAGGGGGAGGAGAGCTGGCACCCAGGCCTGGAGCTCCGTCTGTGCAGCGTGCATCCACCCAGCCACTAGTGAGGGGCTAGAACCTCTCCCTCCCACCTTTTTCTTGCTGCCCTATCCAGTGCTGGGGATGCAGCTGTGCCAGCTCACCCTGCTGCATGCCACGATGCTTCTGCCCCCTCCTGGGACGAGAGGGGTCTGCCAGCAACAGCACAGCTGGGCATGGGGGGGGGAACTGCTCCCGTGCTCTGTGCATTGGGCCAGAGCCAGCCAAACACTTTAGCATTTGTTTAATGTAGAGAACACTTGAACCAAATTGATGTGAACATCTATCTGAGTCTCCCGGCCTGTTTTAAGAGCTTTGTTGGTTTTGGTTTGTTTTTTTTTTTCCTCCAGTGGCAGTGAGTAGGAATTATTCCTTGAGCTGCAGAGCGTGTTTTCCATGTGGTGCCATCCTGATGGCATGCAGTGCAAGTGCAGATGCAGAGCTCCTGCTTCAGACCAGGCACTGCTTTATTCTGATGCCTCGTCCTGCTGGTCAGCACTAAAAGCAGAGGCAGAAAGTCCTCGGAGGGAGCAGAGATTTATTGTAGTAGGAAATGAGAAACGCACACATCACCTCTGTCTGTATCTGCAGGGGAAATGAGCAGTGCTGGCAGTGTGTGGCAGCTGAAGGCAGGTCCCACGGTGATGTGCAACCACCGTGCTGCAGGGCAAGCAAGTGCTGTGCCCTCAGCCCAGCATGGGAAGGGTGATCAGAGCTGGGGTCCTGGACAGGCGTGTTGTGCCCACTGCTGCTGCTCTGCCAGGGCAGATAAGTCGTGCTCACGAGGACACAGGTCCTCTTTTATTTAATTTCCTGGTAATGCTTCTGCAGCATCAAAGTCTTATCAGGAGAGGAGCAGCTTAAGAGCCTGGGAAAGGAGTTTTGTTGTCAGTATCAGAGCTTTATTTCCCTCTTGCCTTGAACACTGGATGGCAGACCGGGTTATGGCTGGAACCAGGCGCTTTTCTCCTTTTGTCCTTTTAAGCTGCAGAGATTTCCCTGCTCACCTTTTTCTGATGGTAATTCGGTGGCTGTTCCTCTGGGAGCTGCAGGCTTAGCACGGCTGATGTGTGCACTGTGGCCATGGGGTGATGCAGAGTTCCCACTCCGCAGCCAGTCAGCACGTACCACAACACAACTGGGCACCCAACAGCTTTAGCAGCACAGCTGTGACTGCAGGGCTTGCCGATGACTCTGAAAACCCTTGCCTCAGTTTCCAATGGTGCTGAGCATCCCTGTGTTTCCAGCCTGCAGTTGTACCATGGGATGGTAATACGGGCCCTTGTGCTGCTGGGGGTCATAAGGGTGAGGCTGGGGGCTGCTGGGGGAGGTTTGGGGCAGCACAGGGAGGGCTCTGCTCAGCCCAGCAGCTCTGCTGTCTCCCGCAGCCTGCTCCCTGCCTGCAAACTGCAAACATCCTCCTTGGCTGTGCCAGGCGTGCGTTCAGCAGACTTTTCAGCAGCAGACAATGGCTTTGGATAACGTCCATTTAAGAAAATTGGCAGAACTGTGGGCTTCACACAATTATTGCTTGTTGGTTTTGTTGGTTTTTGTTTGTTGTTTTTTTTTTTTTTTTCTTTTGAAATGCTCCTGGGGAACAGCAGAGCAGTTAACGAGGCAGCACAGAGCCCACAGGGGGGGAGCTGGGATCCTGCATCCCATTGGGACCTCCCGCAGGAGCACCGCCTCCTCTCTGCGGTTCCTACCCCTGGGATGGAGCCAGAGCTGCTCCCTCAGAGCCTCGGGATGCTTGGCTGCCAGTGTGTGCCCTGGTGCTGCTCCGCGCCCTCTGGTCCAACGCGCAGCGCTGGCAGCAGGAGGGGGCTGTCAGAAATGCAGACAGATTGGATTAGACTGGTGATGCGTCAAGCCCTAAACTGATAAGAGATGGAACAATTGACGTGTTGCCAAAAAGGACTGGGAAGGATCTTTTTTAAGCAGGCTAAATAGTCTGGGCAGGAACGAGCAGTGAGCAGCACAGACACAGCAGCACGCTCATCTCTGGTTTTCTGCCCCACGCCAGCTCTGCTCTCTGCTTGCTGACGGCCCCAGCCCCAGCTGGATGAGGGCCAGTGATGGAGACCCAGCCCTGTGAGAAGCCAGGGTTGAGCCTGCCCTGATCCAGATCTTTTAGGATTAGATTCCACCTGGATGAAAGGTTGCAAGGGTCCGCATCTGAGATTAGGGACAGAAAGAGTTGCTGGGCTGAGATGCTGGGATGGGACAGGGCGATGCGATGGACCTTCAGGGTGCCACCCACCGAGCTGCCATTGGCAGGATCCTCCGAAGGGCTCGGGGCGAGGAGGGCCAGCAGCTTTTGCAGCAGATGTGCGTTACATCCTGCCCCCTCCTCTGTGCTCTGCAGCCATGTGATGCCGGAGGAGTGTGGCGATGATATGGAATGTGGGCAGCTGCCTTCGGACACGCTCCGACAGGTGACGGTCCTGCGCCATCCCCGCTACGGATTCGGCTTTGTGGCCGGCAGTGAGAGGCCCGTGGTGGTGCGCTCAGTGGCAGCAGGTAGGGTGTGCTGGGAGTGCCCCCTCCCCATCTTCCCGTCCCCTCTGGTGAGTCCAGAGAGTCTCTCCATGGCTACGTACAGGGGATAAACGCTACGGAGGTGGTTGGGGTTCCCCCTTCTGGCTGGCAGTAGCACCCCTGGGCCAGATCAGTGCTGAGCCTCTGTCCCTGCAGGTGGCCCTTCTGAGGACAAACTGCTGCCGGGAGACCAGATTTTGGCCATCAACAATGAGGACGTGAGCGAAGCCCCCAGAGAGAGGTTCATTGAGCTCGTCAGGTGAGGGCAGCACCTTGTCCATCGTCCTCCCTGGGAGGGCTGAGCGCTCGCCATGGCCGAATGTTGAGCAAAGCCGTCCTCCTTCACTTCTCCTTTCTGTCGCAGGAAGGCCAAAGACTTCATCATCCTCACGGTCCTGCACACACACCAGGTGAGAGCGGGCAGCTGGGGTCCCATGGAGCCCATCATGGGAGCAGGGACCGTTTACATCCATTTACCTCTCGCTCTTTTTCCAGTCCCCCAAATCCGCTTTCATCAGCGCAGCCAAGAAAGCAAAGCTGAGGTCCAACCCAGCAAAGGTCCGCTTTTCAGAGCAGGTGACGGTCGGCGAGACGAACCCAGTAAGTGCTGCTCGCTGTTCTCCCCTTGCACCCTTCTGTGATGGAGTCCCAAAGGCTGCCCCAAAAAGCTGCTCCCACTCGAGGTCCTCTGGACACCCGTCAGTGGCACTGGGCAGTGCCAGCACCCACCCAAGGAAGGGTTGTGGCTCCGAGCCCAGAGCAAAAGGCTTTGAAGGAGCTTCCTTGAGGGCTGAGCTGGCCGGAGCATTTCTGCCTGTGCTCGTGCAGGAGCTGGGGCTGGGAAAGGGGTTTGGAAAGGGGGGTCAGCCCTGAGCTTCCCCAGCGCTCCCTCCTGCTGGGCAGCTCTGGCACCCACTGGGATGTGCGTGGCTAACATACTGCTGGGTTCCCACTGCTGCTGGTGGCAGCAGGTGACTCCACCAGGCAGTGCTGAATCACTCGAGCTCTGTGCTGTTAAACGCTCCGCAGAGACAATGGGTTTTCAAGGGAAATGCGCCTCTGAGCGTGGAGACTCAGGGAAGCAGAGAATGCCATCAATGCTTCATCACTGACAGTTGTTCCCTCTGCCTCCTCCTGCTCCCCTGCCTCCAGGACATGTTGAAGAAGGAAGCTCTCCTCCTCATTCCCAATGTGCTGAAAGTTTTCCTGGAGAACGGGCAGATCAAGTCCTTCACATTCGATGGCCGAACCACCGTGAAGGTGGGTCCCCCGGGATTCCCCCCAGTGCAGAATCGATGCCTCCCTTTCCCATTTTCCTCCATTTTTCTCAGCCTTTTGCTTCCTTGCACGAGCACGGTGGCAGAACTCAGCTGCCTGCGGGCTGCCACCATGCAGCAGCCGTGCTGATGTAATACATACTGCAGCCCCCTGTGAAGAGGGAGCTGCTGCTTCTCACCCAAGCCCATCTGTGGTGTTTGCAGGACGTGATGGTGACGTTGCAGGACCGCCTGTCCCTGAGGCACATCGAGCACTTTGCCTTGGTCCTGGAGTACTCGAGCCCAGAGCAGAACCATCGCTTCCTCCTGCTCCAGGACAAGCAGCCCTTGGCCCACGTAAGCCTCTGGGGGCTGGAGGGTTTCGGGGTGGTTCAGCCCACAGTGTTGTTCCTCTCCCAAAGGATGGAGCTCATGGCTTGCGCCGTGGGCTCACTGCCCAATCTGCTCCAGGTTGTGCAGAGGACGCACTACCACGGCATGAGGTGCCTCTTCCGTGTCAGCTTCTTCCCCAAAGACCCTGTGGAACTGCTGCGCAGGGATCCGGCAGCCTTCGAGTACCTCTACATTCAGGTAGGGACCGGGATGCCCTCACAGTGCTTCCCCCCATCACACTCAACACGCTCCTTCCCCATGAGCGGAGGGTGGCAGGTGCCCCATCCCCCGTGGGTCTCTGAGGTCACTTCTCCTCGCCACAGAGCCGCAACGACGTGATCAGAGAGCGCTTTGGCATGGACCCCAAGCCAGAGATGCTGCTGGGGCTGGCTGCCCTCCACATCTACATCACCGTGGCGGCCACGCGGCCCAGCCAGAAGGTCTCCCTCAAGAACGTGGAGTGAGTTCCTCTCCCCGCAGCACGCAGGGCCCACGCGCTCAGCCTCGCCAGGGCTGGGGGAGATGCATGCCAGGAGCATCTCCATGGGAACCCGGGCTGATTTCCCACTTGGCATCAGAGGCAAGGAGAAGCTGCTGTGGCTGCGCAGTCCCAGCCTCGCAGCCGTGGCTCAGCCCTGCCACAACTGCCCAGTGGTCTTCAGTCCATACAAAGCACCTTGGGTGCAGATGGAGGGAGATGGCGTGTGGGGGGACCCCATCCTTGTCCCCTCCATGTGTGGGGTGTCCCAGCTGGGCAGCCCTGAGTCTCCATCATCCTCACATCTTTCCACAGGAAGGAGTGGGGTCTGGAGCCCTTCCTGCCTCCCTCCCTGCTGCAGCTTGTCAAGGAGAAGAGCCTCCGCAAATCGCTCTCCCAGCAGCTCAAAGCCCACCAGAACCAGCCTGGAGGCACCAAGGTGAGCCCTTGTGGCCGGTGGGGGGACAACGTGGCCGTGGAGCTGGTGGTGATGGCGGGTGTGATGTGTTTGGCCAGGTCTCCACTGCCCAGGCAAAGCTGCAGTACCTGAGGATCCTGAACGAGCTGCCCACCTTCGCCGGGGTTCTCTTCAGCACCGTGGGACTGGTATGGTAGCTGGGGCTGGGAGGTGCTGGCACCTCGGTGCAGCTGCAGTAGTGCCATATTCACATCCCTCCAGTTCCCCATCCACACCATCTGGCTGGGATGCTCTTCGCAGCACTCTGGCACTGGGCAGGCTGGGATGAGAGTGATCCTTGGCAAAGGCCACCCCTCCCCTGTTTGTCCAAGCAGGAAATAGCTCATCCAACCTCACCACCCCCTCGAGCCCAGTCCCACTGCTGCTTGGTGGCTCTTCAAGCTGTCACCTCACTCCTCCTTCATCTCCATCAGAGGCATCTCCACCTCTCACCCAAGCCACCTCACTTTCTTCATGGCAGGAGGAAAGCCACCAAGCCAAACAGGAGAACAGAGGACCTGCATAGATAGGCTCCTCGCTGCCTGCCTCACCTCTCCATCTCCATCTCTCGCTCCACCTCCCATCCAGGGGACTCCATGTAAGTGCCATCTCTGCCATCCTCCCCTCCCACCCCCACCCAAGTGCTCAGCAGCTCCCTGGTTTTGTCCCCCCCAGCTTTAATTTCTTGCAGTGTTTGATGGATGTTTTTTCCACCATGCCTCAGAGCTCCTAAGAAATAAGGACACACCATATTGCGTTGGTTAATAACCACACTGTATCTCATTAGTTCTGTGTCTGGAGCCATGCCCCCAACCCTGCCTGTGTGCAAAGCATTGGGAAAACTGCCCCTGATGAAGGTGCCTAGATTTTTCTTACCTCTGATACCAAAGCTGTGGCTCTGAGCCTGCTGAGTGAACCAGGCTGGGAGCTGAACCATCTATTCAGCCACATGAACCGTAACCTGAGTGGTAAAAAAAAAAAAATTCCCTTATTCTCTTCTGCACCAACCTGCCCAGCTCCTCCTCACCTCCGGGTCTCCATAGAGCATCCTCGCTGGGCAGAGCAGAACAAGAAAGATCTCTATTTCCGACCAAGCCTTCAGTCTTTCTTCTCTTCTAAATGCATTCAGTCCCTCGCTCCCTCCTCAGCTCCCCTCCCTCGGCGGCGGTGTCAGATCAGGCAGATTTGTAACATGCTCTTACTTTGCTGTAGTGACACCAGCAGGCCTGAATATTTCATGCATACAGTCAGTGCAGTGCTCGAGACTGAAACGGCCCTGGCACTCAGCTCTGCAGAGGAGCTCAGGGAGGGCTCCTGGTGCCGCCGCTCCCTCAGGGTCAGCTCTGCCCCAAGCCCTGGCCCAGGGGTGCGTTTATTCACATCTGTCTGTCTGTCTGCTCTCGCTTTCCGTGCACCCAGGACGAGAAGCAGCCAGCCACCACGCTGCTGGTGGGTCCCCGGCACGGCATCAGCCACGTCATCGACCTGAAGACCAACCTCACCACCGTGCTGTCAGAGTTCAGCAAGGTCAGCAAGATCCAGCTGTTCCGAGAGAACCAGGGGGTGGCCCGGGTGGAGACCAGCATCCTGGATGCCAAGGTGAGCAATGGGGCATCGTGGGGATAGGGGCAGGGAACAGCAGTGCGGGTTGGTCGTTGCAGTGGCTTCTCAGGGATTTCTGGGATCTCAAAGAGCCCTTTCCTATCGCAGTGATTAAAAGGATTCCTGGCCCAGCCTGTGGCACAGGGGCAGGAACCGAGGGGATCTGGGTCTGCGCCTGCTGGAGGAGCAGCCTTTCTCCACATCCCCTCCGTCTACCTCGGGCTTGAGAGATGGCAGCTCTCCCATGCCCCTTCCCGTGGGCACGTACACACGATGCTTTATCTCCCTGAGAAAGCACAGCCAGCTGCCCCCAGCTTCCAACCCCCCCCTGCCTGTGTCTGCAGGGGAGAGCGGGCTGTGGGGGAGGCTCGGCAGCACTCACCAGGGCACGGCCCGCTGCGATCTGTCTTCATTTAAGCGCTATGCAAAGGGCTGGGTTTTAAAGCCAGAATGTCTGCTCCGAAATGAGGCATATGCTAATCCTACTGGGGACAGAGATGGATGAGGCGGGCTAAGAAAAGTTGGCAAAAAGATCATTACCTTGAAGCGCTAATCTGCTTACTGCGATTACTCTATTGTACAGAATGTGTCGCTGGGTAAAACATGGGGCTGCAAATAAATCTGTTTCCTCCATCATCCGCAGACCGTCAGAGGGCTGTGCTGTCAGTCAGGGCCTCACTCCTCTGGGGACCTGCAGTGGAATCTGCCCCACATCCCTGAGACGTGGGAGCTCTGCACATCACACAGGGACGCCCCACAGGCAGGATACGGGCAGCCTGGGTCTGTACTGCATCCACCACAGCTGCTTACTGGGTTTTGGCATTGCACTGCTGATCCTGTGTGTTAAAAAAGGGGCCAGCACAAGGAGCAGCCCACAGCTAATGCCACCCAATTGCCCTCACCTGCATCCCCAGCCCAGACCTGCTGGCCAGGAAGGAGCTGGGGAAGATTTCCAGGCAACGAGTTGGCTCGAGATGATCACAAACCATTGGTGTTTACTTCAGGAGGAAACATGGTGTTTGTCTTATAAATAATGCGCTGGGTAGTAATAGCTTTGCTTTGGAGCTTTTCCATCCTGGGCTTCAGTTGGTGTTTCAGTCTGTTCTGAATTCAGAGCCCAACAGTGCCTCTGCTCTGCTCCCTTTCACTGCTTGCAGCTGCAGTGGTGGCAGAGGAGTGGCAAAGGGGAATCAGATGCTGGCAGGAGCAGAGGTGCAGGTGGAAAGCCCCAGGGTCTGCGCTGCAGGGCACAGGAATTGGTTTCAGTGCAGACTTGCTGGGGTTGAGCCTTGGTTCTGGCACTTGTCAATTTGCTGGGGACAAGGTGGTGGCACTGAAGGCCTCCTGTGGTCTGTGTGCACTTAATGCTTGGCCTGGTGGGCTGGGCTTTGCATTTCTTGGGATGTCCCTGGGAAAGGCAGGGTCATGGGGTTCCCCACACTCCTCCAGCCCTTCTGTGGTGGGGCACAGGGACAGCTGGGGACATCAGAGCCATCTCCCCACATCCAGCCCCTGGCTGCTGGCCACAGCCCTGCCCACACAGCTCCAGCCACTGCAGGATTGATACTGGTGAGGATGAACCCCTCAGGAACAGAACTGGAGCTGCACGTCTGCTGCTGGCCCGCACCATTTAATTACAGGCACGGGGGTAATTGGCTTCGCATCTCCCAGCAGGATCAACCAGCAGTTTAGCCAGGATCAAGGCTCGGCAGAGGAAAACAAAGGAAGAATTAATTCAGAAATGTCCCCCAGCTGCTGCCGTGCCTGGAATCTGGCTATTGACTTCAGCATCCCAGGGGTACCAGGCGTGCTTCCAGGCTGCGATAGAGACAAAAGATCACCGCGCACGTCCAGCTGCAGCCTGCCTGGCTTCCACATGGCAGGGCTGCTCCTGCCCTCCCGCATGGCCACGCTCTGCCCTCCAAAAAAGGGAGTGCTGGGGCTGGCAGGGCTGGCTGTGCATTTGCTGGTGTGAAATCCAAGGGGAACCTCACTGAGCTGCGCAAACAGCGAGCGGAGCCATCAGAATTCATCCACGCGAAGAGCGAAGCTTTAGAGTGATGCCAGACCTAAAGGCTCTGTTTCCCAAAGCTAAATTAATCTGATTAGTTCTCATTGCTCTAAAACGTTCCGGAAAGCCGCGAGGCTGAGATCTCCTTTGTCTCAGTGTTGGGGTGGGGAGCTGCAAACGCGATGCTTTCTGCACGCAGAGCCCTTTGGGCAACATTGAATGGTGAGCCTGCAGCAGCAGCCTGGCCTGGGGGGAATGGGAGCTGACAGGGGTACGAGCTGCAGGCAGGAGATGCTGCACAAGGGCTGCAAAGCCAAACTTGAGTTGTTTGTTAAAAGGAAGAAGAGCAGACGGACCCTGACCTTGGGCATCAGGGGGGAAGCAGCTACAGATGGGCGATGCAGAGGTACCAGAGCAGCACCGAGCCACTCGTGTGATGCACATGCAGCTGTATTGATCAGCAAATGAGAAATAACGGTGCTAATCACAGCGAGCCCCTTAACGATAGAGCTGAGTTAATAATGCATAAGGGGAGGGAAGGGAAGGTCGTGTGCAAGTGAGAAATTGACTGCTGTCTCGTTAGGTCCCGGTGCTGTGTTATTAAACACAAACTTGGCAGAACACCGTGGGTAAGCAGGGAACATAAATTATGTAAATTCATATCCCAACTTTCTCCTGTGTTGCACAGGGGGAAGCAGCGTGAGGTCCAACGTGTGGATAAAAGGGGGAGATGAACAGGAAACACACATCAGCTTAAGGGTTCTTATAGGATCGGCTCATAAATTAATTGAAACGTCAGGGCTGTTACGACCGTGGCCATAAAATTCCATCCGAGCCTTCTTCTACAAAGCCTTCACCTTGGTGTGAATGAGAGGCTGCCCTTCAGGACACCGTGCTTTGATTTAAAGGCGGTGCGTCATAGGAAAAGTGCCATATCCTTAATAAGCTTAATGCAGAACCTGTCCCTGCTATCCAGGATACATTTACTTTGTTTTACTTTGTGGAGATTGGTTGCCAAGCAGGAAACTCGGGGCAAAAAACACCCTTTGCTCATTAAGAGTGGAAAATCCAGAATGTGAGTATGAGTGAAAGATCAAAACGTGAATGATTTCAGGCTGCCATCACGGATGGAGAGATAGAAGGAGCTTTCTCTCTAAATCACACTCCTTTTCGTGGCCTCTTATTGGACTGAGGTGAACCACTACCCGCGTGTCACACCGTGGATCTGCTCTTTGGTGCTCTGAATGCTCACGGTGTGGTGTAGAACTGCCTTCACCCCAAGGGCACAGTAGGATGGGGCAGGGTCCCAGCACCCAGCCTGCCCTGCAGGACCATCCCAAGGGATGGCACAGGAACCCCAGCAAAGCCCCGGGTGCAGGACGTCAGCCTCTGCTGCCCTCCGTGTTTGCTTCGATCTCATTTCTCGCACTGCTGCATAACAGTGGGGGAAAAATGTGCAAATGTCTCCTCATCCAACAGATGGCTTGAAAACAACCCAGGAGGCTCAGCCCTGGGTAGGAAAAACTTGTTTTAAGGAAGGTTTCATATGGCGGAACTGGAACACATGGTTACCTTTCATCACTTATGTCAAGCCCAAAGCTGGGCTCAGAGCTGGCATCGCCCTCCCACCGCTGGATGCTGCCTCCTCATCCCTCCCTTCTGCCTCAGCCCTTTCCCTCTGCTCCGTGTCACCTCGGGTTTGCTCTCTATGATGGCACAACTCATTGCCGTGTCGCTTTATTTCTCATCCTCACTTCACACAGCAGCCAGGCAGGGACTCCTTTCCTCCCACCCCATGGGGATGAGGTGTGGGGCTGGTGGCCTTGTGCCCGGCTGCACTGCGTTGTGACATTGCATCTGTCTGGGTTTTTTTTTCCTCTCTTGAAAGCAAAGACCTTTTTTGGCGTGCAAATCAATGCTCTCCTAAAACAGAAGATGCCATCTGCTCCCAGGCACAAATTGGATTTTCTGAAGGGTTACTTTTAAGTAAGATCCACAGGCTCAAAGCAGTGGCGGGGAGGGGGCTGAAATGGAGTTTTGCCCCTTCTGCAGCTCAGTGGATGCAGACGTCTTGGTGAATGGGAGAGCAGGGTGGTGCCTGCAGTGAACCTGGGGTTCTGGCACCTGCAGACTGAACAGAACCTCTGGGGCCTGGAGGTTACTGCTGGTGCTTGCAGGTGGGCTCAGCATTGGCACACAGCATATCAGGGTTCTGCCACTGGCCCCGCAGGGTGCACACAGCAGCTCTCACCTCTTCCATCTGCAGTGCAGCGCTGTGGGGATGCAGAGGAGATGGAAATGGGGGGGGTTGGAAATTCATGATCCTTGAGGTCCCTTCCGACCCGTGCCGTTCTGTGACTCTGTGACCAGAGCACAGGTGTGCACCCTGCTGTCTCCTGGCATCCAGCTCCCCGTGACACCGGTGACAGCCCTCCGGCCGAGCCTCACGCCGTGCCTCTCTTGCCTTCCAGCCGCTGGTGCTGCTGATGGAGTGGCCCGAAGCCACCAACTTCGCCTGCCTGATCGCAGGTTACTGCCGTCTCCTGGTGGACTCCAAGAAGATGATATTCTCCAGGCCGCCCAGCCAGCCCCCACCACCTCAGATTATCAAGGCAGGTACGGTTCAGCCTCTGCTTTCCCTGCGAGCCCCTTCCTCCCCTCCTCCACCCCTAATTCTGGGCAGGAAGGAGATGGGTTCCTCCAGCATCTCTGCTCCTGTCCCTGCGGCACCAGCAGCCTGCTCTGAGCAGCAAAATGTCCTCGCTTTGCAAAGCTCTCACTTAATCAAGTGTGAGCTGGCAGCTGTAGTCCCTGGCTGTGCAGTGGCCCTTTCTGCTGCCTAGCAAATGCAAAGCACTGAGTGTCTCTCTGGTGGCTCCTAGAGCAGACCCAGGTGACCCTGTTGTGCTGCTGAATTCATACAGCAGGAAGGGAATTTGGGGTCTCAGCTTTGCAGGGTCCCAGCTTGCTGCAGGGACGCAGACAGATCGTGTCCCACCAGGCACTGATGCTCTGTTCCTCGAGGACAGATTTCAGCTGTCGATCACCAGCAATTATTGTCAAGAAGGATTTCAAACGGGAGCCAGTCAGGACATTGCATGCTGTAACTCCATTTGGTGTAAGGAAACATAGAAGATGGGCTCAGTGGCTGGAGATGCTCCCCACTGCAATCTGTGGGGAGACAGGAGGTGCCCCCCCTCTCTCCGTGCCAAGAGCTGCATTTTGGCTGGGGTGTGCCAAAACTGTGCCCTGGAAATGGATATAGCCAAGGGAGGTGCTGAGAACTAGCAGGGTCTCTGGGGAACGGAGCTGGTGCCCTGAGGTGCACCTGGATGCGGAGTGGGCACCAGAGGAGGACACACCAGGAGGAACCAGGAAGGCACCTCCAGCAACCCCAGCACATCCAGGAACAGGCCTGGCAGTGATGTCGGTGTGAGTATGTGAGCATGGTTCCCTTCTGTGTCTTCAACCTGCGCCTCTTCTTAACAGCTGCCACTGTGCTCTCTGCTCTGGGTGTCCTACATAAACCCAGCCCCCTTTGGTAGGAGCGAAGGGTGCTTCCAAATGAACCTGCTGTTATCAAAGCACTCCCTCCCCAGTCATGTGTCATTTGGGGGTGGCCCTCAGGGGGCTGTGGGGCTTGGGGAATGCAGTGGGAAGTGGAGAACATCGCAGAAGCCCAAGGGCTGCCGCAGTCACAGCTTGCCTGGGGATGTCTCAGCACATTCAAGAGGTGTTTTTCCACTTTCCAGTGACAGTGATAGCAGCCAGTGTCTTTCCTCAGTGAGATTTTGCCTCACTGATACAGAGCACAGCCCGAACCAGGAGATGCAGTAGGTCCTGCTCCAGTGTCACACCGCATGGGGGCTGGAAGAATGTGAAAGGGAGTGACGGCGTGGTAGGACAGGGATGGAGCCAAGGGATCCCTGCTCTTCATGCTGGCCCCTCTCTCTGTACACCCAGTACACTCAGGCCAGGCACTCAGGCATTGTTTTGGAGAGGTGAATTAGTTAGCGTGGAGAAAACAAAGTCTGCTGACAGTCCTGGTCCTGGCCTGGCTGCGGACTGAGCTGCCAGGAGCCAAGCAGCTCACCAGAAGCATGGTCTGCTGGTCATCTCTGCAGGAATAATAAGAAAGTCCCACTGGGATAAATCAAGTTTGCCCAGGCTTTGACTTCCCAGGCTGCAGGCAGGCTTTGCCAGAATCTGAAGCACCACATCAGGCCCTGCTCTGTGCTTTTGCCTTGGAGCAGAGCACATCCATCTTCCCAGAGGCGCATTAAACCCTCCTGCTGAACTGCAGTCCTGCTTAGAAATGCGCGTTGGCTCTGGATGCTGTCAGTTAAATCCCACTCTCAGCGTTTCCCTGCAGAGCTGCACAGACCCCTGCCCTCCCCACTGCAGCAATTCGCCCCCCTGCCCCTTTCCTCCCCCCGCAGCCCCCAAGATCATGAGAGCAGCAGCTGGCTGCTATCTCAGCTCTTTACCAGGACTTTCCCTCCCAGAGAGAGCAGCTGGATTACAGATTTTACAGATTCTGGCTTTGCTCAGGAGTGGGCAGCCAGCAAAAGCCCCACTCAGCAGGGAGAGGCTGGGGTACGTGAGCTCTGGCACACTGCAGGTCTGCATGGATGGTCCTTTCTTCTCTGCCTTAATCCACTGCTAACAGTGCCCACCAGCAGCAGCATTGCATGCTATCACCCAACTGCTTTCCCTGAGCACCAGCACGGCCATAAACGAGAGTGAAATTGTTTTGATTCAAATTTTAGCATTGCAGGTGATGAACAGTACAATACAAACGTGTGTTTGGGGAGACAAATGGTCCAATTTGTTGAGCTAATGAATTTAATTAGGATTTATTTGATTTAATTTACGCTTGCTAAGACGGAGCCTGCATCCCCCTGGCAGCCTCTCAGCACAGCTGCACAATTCAGCCTTACACACAGAGGCCCCTCCAGGGGGGGTTGGACCACTGGCCAGCTGGGGCGGTGTTTCAGCTGCTTGCCTGGCATAGAGAGGAGCAATAGGAGCCCATCACAGCCAAATGCTCAGTAAGGAGCAGAGCAATACTGCATCACGTTTAGCAGCCTGCTGCCGGGCTCGCTGCAGAAGTGGCTGAGTATGACAGCTCGGTGTGACCAATGTGACGCGAAAACGGGGAGGGTAATTCCTTTTTGCACTCATGAAACGTCAGGGTGAGGCTGAAGGTCCTCATTCACGCATGCAGACACACTGTTCCTGTTGCCCTCTGAGTCCCAGTGGTGGCTGGGAGAGGCAGCTCCAGGTTGAGGTGCTGGCTGTGCTGGGCAGCCCCGCTCCTGCCTCCCTGCAAAGGAGCTTGCTGTGCAGCACAGAAACAAGCTGTTTGCTCAGCTGGCCAGCCTGGACTGAGCCCAGCTGGGAGCTGAAAGCAGGCTGATGCAGTTAGGAAACAGATCTGTCAGGAAAGGTTAAAGGAAATCGCTGTGGCTTGTTTAAGAAATGTGGGGAGGTGGGGAGGAAGGAACACGGAGATCTTGCAGCAGTTCAAAAAAGGGCAGTGGTCGGCTGTGCTGCAGGTCTGTGATGTCACTGATCGATTCCCAGCGGAAAGAAAAAAGAGAAAACAGCTTTAGGGTTGAGACTTTCCCATCCTAAACGCCATAATATTTAACGCCATAAAATGTCCAAGATTTAGCTGTGTGGTCGTTGCAGAGCCCCAGGAAGCAGTGCGTTCTGTCGGCGTGCCGTGGGCTTTTGCTGGCTGAGGCTCAGCTGCTCCTACATCCATCAAGCTGTGCCAGCCTTTGCCAGACTCACATAAAAGCCATACTAAAACACACCCAACAGCTCTGTGTTAATAACCCACGCTCGGTGGGGAAGCCAGTGCCTCCATCACTCTGCGTTTATGGAGGACAGAGGGCAGAGAGCACGCGGAACCCAGCAGCTCTCCCATCCTCATCTCCCCTCTGCCCGCCGCCGCTCCTGACGCTCTGCTGTGCTTTGGCTTTAGATTACATGGACTCACACCACCTCCCCCGGCCCGCGGCGGCGGGGCACGCTGGAAAGAAGGAGGGCGGGTTCGTGGGGGGCCATACCGACAGCCCCCCCCCCCGGCAGGCCTCGGGCGGCCCGCGCCTCGGACCCGGAGCTCGTCAGCTTTTGCTACCTGCACATGCGAGAGCAGAGGAAGGAGAGAGAGAGCAGGACGGATATCAATGAAAACCTGATTTTTTTCGAGGAAACCCGTCCCAGGACCAAATCCGACCCCACGTCCAAGAGCTCCGGCCAAGGCTACGATGGGGTGGCCAACGAGCGCGACCCCGACGGCCCGGAGCGCGAGCGGCACGCCAGCCGTGCCCGCGCACACACCATCGACACGCACCCGCGGGGCGACGCTGCCCACTTCTACTGCGCGTCCTGCAAGGCCAAGCTCAGGAGCCGGCTGGCCTCGCGCAAAGCCGGCGGCACCCGCGACAACATGGTGGACCTGATGTCCCTCCCCCCTCCCGGTAGTGATGAGGAAGAGGACGAGGCCACGGCTCTGCTCCCCGCCATCGCCGCCCCGCCGCCCGGCTTCCGGGACAACAGCTCGGATGAGGACGACCCCAAACGCCGGGCGGCCGCGCAGGGCCAGGAGCAGAGCCGGCACCTGTGCAGCATCCTGTACGACGAGATCCCCGTCACGCTGATAGACAGCGTGCAGACGCGGACGGTGCGGGACCATGCCCAGGAGCTGGACGATGCCCTGGTGTCCACCCTGCAGGCGCTGGAAGCTCTGGCTGCTTCTGAGGACTGCCCGCATCCCCCGCCGCAGCAGACAGCAGGTAGCGGAACGGCCGTGCCTTTCTTTTTCCCTTTTAACCTTTCTTTCCAACAGCACGTCCTTCCTTTCATGCTTCCCTTTGTTCTTCTCCCATACGTCCCTCAGCCTTTGCAGGCTGGCACCCAGCTCCTGCAGGTGAGCTCTGCCCGGGGCACGCTGCAGTCTCTGGACCAGGCAGCCCCGCAGCACGGCTCTGCCCTCCCTCTGCTGCCCTCTCACTGTGTCACGGCAGCTGCTGCCAGGTTTCCCTTCTTGCTCCACAGACCTCCCTGCAGCCCTGCTCTCACTCGCACTGGAACCCTTCCCAAGACCTCTTCCCAGGCCAAGAGGTGAATGGAGCTAGCAAGCCAGTGATCTCTTAAACGAATTAACTCTTACTTGGGGGAAGTGACTAAATGGTCTCCCATGGGATCCTGCTGCTTGCTGCACTGGGGCCTTCCTGCCGCAATGGGTTCCTTTCTCCTCCCCACAGTGGTGCGGCGCAAGCATTGTTGTGGGGCTTTCTTTGTGTCCCTCCCCAGGTCTTATCGTCCTGGCTGCCATCACACCTGAGTCATCCTTGGATTCTGGCCATGAGACCAACTCCTCAGAGCTCACCGATGTCTCAGAGATGGTCTCTGCTATGAAGCAGCACCAGAACGCAGCCTACTTCCTCGCTCAGCACATCAACAAAGAGAACCTCCTGGCCAGAAAGGACTTGCCTTTCCGAATCCAGAGCTGTGCTGCCCAGGCTGTCCTCACCTCACCATATGCCCTCACCCGCCAGGAGACAAGCTCTTCAGCGAAGCCAGCTTTTTCTCACCCAAATCCCAGCCTTACCAACTGCAAGAGCAAACAGGAGCAGCAGAGTGTTGAGCAGAGTTACACCGTGGCTGCCCAGCCAGTGCTCACCTCCCAGCGTAGCGAGCAGAACAGAGGGGCTCCGGTGCCAAGCTCTGAATGTAAAGGTACAGGCCACACAAAAGCTGCCTTTGAGGGACCTCTGCATACCACAGCTGCACCAAACAGAGAGCAGTCACAGGATCTACAAGAGAAGATGCCCAAAGAGGTTCTGCCGAGCCCCAAACTCCTCCTGGATCAGAAAAGTGGTGTGACTCCAGCCATTATTTCAGCTGCTCTGCAGCAAGTGGCAAATGCTAAAGGCTCAGCCCCTCAAGTGGGAGCAGCATCAAAAGAAGACAAGACAGTGAATGGGACCGGTGGCTGTGTGTCAGCCAGCAACAAGCCTTCAAAACTTAAAGGAGGTCAGCTAACTGCAGAGCCATTGTGCCACTGTCAGCAGCAACAGCAACTCTCTCAACAGCAGTACAGTGAAGCTTCTCCGAGTCCTATAGAAGCTCATAGCAGTAAGGCTGAAGCTTTGCATCCCACCTCAGGAGGTGAAGAAACGATGCCTGGTAAGACTTTTGCCTCTAAAAGCTTCCAGCAAAAGGTGAGTAGAGATACCCAGGGAAAAGCAGCGAGCGGAGAGCCTGGTCAGAAGGCAGGGGGGGAAGCCATGAATCTTGTATTTCAAAAACACGTGGCTCCTTCAAACCAAGGAGAGAAAATGCAACAGGAGAGTTCAGCCAAAAGCTTAAAAGCCGAGAGCAGCAACCCGCACTCTGCATCACCTGCTGGCATTTTCAGGAGCACCAGTGAGGATTCCAAGGGGCCAATCCAGCTGGTGCCCAGGTCTGAGAGCCTGCAGATCAGCACTGTGCCTTCCAAAAAAGTAGACAAGATCCTGGAGGTCACCCAGGCAGATGTTGACGTCCCAGCTAAACCCAAAGCTCCAAAAGCTCCCTTCAGGTTGAGGAACCTGTTTTCTGCTACATTTCCTACCCGGCTGAAGAAGGAGACGGACGAGCGGCAGGCCCAGCTGCAGAAAGTGAAGCAGTATGAACTGGAGTTCCTGGAAGAGCTGCTCAAGCCAAAGAGCAAAGGTGACCTCCCGCCACAGGAGTACCTGCACCCTCCTGCCCCCGGGCGCTGCAGCTGCCAGCTAAGGAGCAGTCCTGTGCAAAAAGTCCCAGGGATGTCCAGGGAGCAAAGGCGCAGCTGTGACTGCAAGCGGATTTGCAGGGGGGTGAGGCCACCCCCCAGCCAGCTGGTGATGCCAGAACTGGAGAGGCACGGCAGGGATAAGGTCACTGATGACCAGCAGCAAGCAGAAGCCATTAGGTTGACAAGCATGAGCAGCCCTCCCAAAGGCAAGAGGATACGATCGACGAGCTTAGAGTCCAGGGACTACCGGTCAGATCCAGAAAACGATGTGTCCTGTTTGACAACGTGTGCCTCCCGAGGGGAATGCATGGGAGCTCCGCAGTACAAGAAGCTCTTGCGTCGCTACAGTGTCAGTGAATTAGATAAGACTGATAGGACATCCCTGTCCTCTGACATCTACCAGAACATCTACCCGGCCAAGCAGAAAGGCCTTCAGAAGGAGTCTGAGCCCAGCATCCTTTGTCCTGTTCTAAAGAGCAAAATCCAGGAAGCCGCTGGGGTGGCTGATCCGTCCTATGTCCAAATAGCACAGGAGAAAAAGAACCAGAAAGGTTCAGCGGTGTTCTCTGTCCAGGAGGAGCTGTATCCAAGTCCTGCGGAGCTGCGGGATGAAGACGTGGAGGATGAGAAGTGCTGCTCCATCCGGTACTGCTTCTACTACAGGAAATGTGATGTTGCGGATGACGGGAGCGAGAAGGATGAGCTGTCCTATTCCATCCCCATGCAGATACTGCCGGGAATGAAGCTGGACAAGCAGATGGTCCCGGTGATGAGCAGGACGCTTCAGGTCCTCGATGCAACAGCCTGCAGCAGTCCCAACGACGGTCAAACCCAGGAAATAGATTTAAGGACCTCCACTTTTGAGGGGAGCTTGGCAAAGATCAACATCCTTCGAGGCCACGTCTACAGCTTGCCCAATGGGTTTCTGCAAGTGCAGCTGGACACCAACGAGCTCCTGACCATCCTGCGGCAGTGCGTGGTGAGCCCCGACGTCCGGGACTGCAAACTCTACATCTCCCAGCTGGCTGAGTACAAGCAAGAGCTCGCCCTCAAATTCAAGGAGTTCCGGGCGTCCTGCCGCCGCGTGGCGGCCGTTGACAAAAGCCCTGCCCACATGCTGTCCGCCATCACGAGCAGCTTCCAGGTGCTAAGCAGCCTCATCGAGACGTTCGTGAGGTTGGTGTACATCGTGCGCTCGGAGTCCCAGCGCCAAGAGCTGCTGACGAAGGTGGAGGAAGTGGTGAGAAATTACACCTTCCTCCTGCGGGCGGCGGAGGAATCCACGGCCAGAATGTTGAGCCACCAGCAGACGGTGGAGCAGCTCGCCCGCCAGTCCGCCACGGTTGCCACTGTTATGAGCACGCTCACACGCTCCCTAAAGACGCTGATCAATAAGTAAACCAGCTGCAGAAGCCGACAGGCCAGTGTGTGCCGGGCTGTGTGTCAGTGGTTCTTGTATCGCGTAGGTCTGGTGAGGATGTCTGTCTGTCTGTCTGTCTGTCTGTCTGCAGGGAAAGCCCACGCCCGCTGAGGTCCGCAGCGAAAAAGACGTTGTTTCTCGACAGAAGGGATGGCAACGTTGGTGGTGTTTGGAAAGGGAGATTCATGCCCTGTTGCAGGCTGTGCAGACGGCGTGCCAGGGGTCCCAAGCAGCTGCACTGCTTGTCCTCCGGCACTCGGGAGGCACAGTCATCCCATTGCCACGCTTGCTGGGTTTTGAATGGTTCTGGGCCTCCCTCGCGCAAAGAGCTGGCACTGTCCCCTGTGTCACGGTGCGTGGTGCCCAGCAGTGAGCAGGGACTGAGCTGATGCCGCCCGGCTTCACTTGGGCAGCGGTCTGATTGGAGCCAAACCAGTGTCTTGCCACGTAAACAGCTCTTCTGCCTCCAGGGTCTTCCTGGCCCACAGATGCAATGTAATTAGCAGCAGAAGGCATCTCTGGGATGCAACTCCCTGCTGCCGCACGAAGGCTTGGGAAAGGATGCCACGTTCCTAGGACAGGGCTAGGTCCTCCAGCAGGCTCTACTCCCACAGTTTAGGCGCTGATGGCCCAATCCTGTACACGGGCACTGCCTGAGAAAGGCAGCAGCTCAATGCTGTGTGAGCAGGGAGTCGTTCCCCATCCTCTGCTGGATGGCCATGTTCATGCTAGGAAGCCTGCAGAGACCCGGATCGCTGTGTGACCAGTGCAAGCCAGCAGCTGGGCTAGCAGCTGAGAGGAGACCTCTTCCATGCCATTCTCCAGAGCAGGTCTGTGCCTTGGAGGCTCAGCCCAGCCCCTCTCCTCCCGCCTCCTTTCACAGTGCCCGTGGGAGAGGAGCCCAGGTCGGGTTGGTCTGAGGCATGGCTTCCTCCTGAGCCAGGCAGTGCTGCTCCTGCCCTCCTCGCCAGGGGCTGGAAGCCTTCTTCTGTCTTCACTGGACCGACTGCCATGAGGAACACTGCTTAGTATCACACAATGGTTATTTATTCAGAGTCGGGTTGGGTTTTTTGTTTGTTTGATTTTCCTTTCTTTACTTTTTTTACTCCTAGATGAATGGTAAAACAACTCCTAATCGCTTTCCTTCACACCCCGGGGGCTGCTCTCCTACTCCCAATCTAGCTTCTAGACCCGATCAATCAGACCGCCTTAACTGGTGCTTCAGTGCACTCACCTACCCTCCAAAACACAGCAGCCAGGAGGAGAAAAAGCAAGGTTAAGCATCGCATGGACCTCGCCGTGCCACCCAACACACCTCATGCACACGGGGGGTCAGGGCTCCCTGCGCTCCCTGCACCCATCTCAGGCTGAAGGGGAGATCACAGGAGGAGGGGAAAGGGCTGCCAAAGCCCACGAGCTTGCCCCGTGGCTGGCTGAGCACACGGTCAGGGATCTCCACAGGATCTATCATTTCCCATCCCTATTCTTATTATTTTTTTTAATGAATATGCACATTTGAAATCTCTCGTTCTTCCATAAGAGCTATGGAAGTGCACAATGTGCTTTTTAACGTGCGCATCCTCTACCAAGTGCAATAACGGGCTTTGGCCATTGCTGTCAGCAAGGCAGAGGGGAGCCTTCTGCCTCCTGCTTTCCACAACCATGTAGCAAATATACAGTGGAAGAGCCAATTTGGATTTCAGTCCACGGTGGGCAGAGCCTGTAGTAACGCTGAGGGCCGACAGGGAGCTGTGGTTTTCTTTTCCCCCTCAATTATCTATTTCAAAGCTCCGAGTTTCCTCAAGCTCCCCGTGATGCCTACATCATCCCTCCATAAATCTCTCAGTCTCATACAGAGGAAAAAATTTTTTATCGTCTGTATATAGTATATATAAAAATATATATATAAATTATATATATATATATATATACACAAATTTATGTCTTGTTTTACAAACAAGAAAGATTAAATATATTCATCTTAATATCCAAAAGAGCACGTTGGGTCTTTTTTTCATTTTTGAAGTCGGGCTGTTCTGTGCGAAGCGCTCACAAGCTTCGTCCTTTTGTTGCTATAGAAATGCACGTATGGTCGGTGCTGGGCTGTGAAAGGAGGGCACAGAGCAGCAGGTTTGATGCAAAAGCTGTGCAAACAGTCTCCTAGCTACAGGTGAGCTTGCACTGGGGACGTGGTTTGCCTGGCTTGCCTGGCGTGACACCGGGGAGGAAGGTGCTGATGTTGCCCTCTGCATACCTTACAGCCTGCAGGGCCACACAAGCCTGATGTAGATCGGGCACACAGCCTCAGGAACTGGGCCACTTTCTGTACGGGGGCTGAATGTGTTGTCTGAAGCGTAGATAGCAGCAGCCTCAGTGCACACACGCTCTCTGTGCCCCCAGGCTGGTTATTTTAATCCACATCACACCATTCCTCATGGTGACATAACAAACGGTGCTTGACACTGACTGGGACGACTATTTATAAAGCTGGGGATGGATCGAAACCTTGGAAAAAGCCAAGAGGTTCTTTAACACCACAGAGAGCCTGAGAACTGACAGCCGGCACCTCCACCAGCAGCTCTGGAGCCGGTGCTGAGCTCTCAGTACCATCTAGCGGGCAATCAGCACGGCAGTGGAAATGAATGATGCCTTACGTGCTGCTGTTGGCTGTGCAGGCTCTGGGGACAGCTGGGTGTCCCTGTGGGAAGGGAGGAGCGGTTCCAGCACACACCCCAGGAAGGTGCATCCCTGCCTCTGTCACCATGCTGCTCTCACTGCTCTGCAGTGACCTCACTGTGTTGGGCACCTGTCTGCGTTCCTGCAAGCAGCGATCCACGTCACATTTACAGGCTCAAGGCCGTGCCAATGCAAAGATAAATGATGAACTGCTAGATTTTATCCTCTCTTAAAGCACGGGGCTGCACTCCCGTGTAAGACATCCCGAGCAATGCAGAGCTGGCTGGGTCAACCACGGCTTTGACCTGGACAAGAGAAAAGTCTGCAGGTATCCCAGCTCTCCCACACCTCCCGTCCTCATTCAGAGTATTAGAAAATGACCCGTATGGATTTTGGGAAGCTGTTTTCCAGACGTGTTCTGTGTCAGGCTAGGTAATTCCATGGCATTAGCAGCCAAGGAGCTTGCGTGGGGCATGATGTCCCAGCCAGCTCCCCAGGGAAGGAGCAAACAGGGTTTTCTGCAGTTGAACTATAAAGTCATTAAAAGGCAAACAGGCTGTGCTAAAAGCAGCAGAATTCCCAGTGCTGCCCTCTCTAGATGCATGCCCTGAGGTGAGCGATGAGACCCAGAACACCTTTAGGAGCTTCCACCAAATCCCACTTTGAAAAGAACCTTGGAAATATTCCTAAATCCAAAGAGATTAAACAGCAGATTTCAGCACAGGAATAATATCCACCTGTTGCTGAACCCCATCTTCCTGGTTTTGGGTAGCAATCACACAGTAAAAATCAGGAATACATTCAAAGGGACCAGGCAGGACTGTTAGTGAGCTTGTAATTCCAAATCTGCACTGCTTCTTATCACAGAATGGCCTGGGTTGAAAAGGACCACAGTGCTCATCCAGTTTCAACCCCTGCTATGTGCAGGGTCGCCAACCAGCAGACCAGGCTGCCCAGAGCCACATCCAGCCTGGAGCAGTTTCCTATGGTTGAGTCCTTTTCCTGACAACTGAAGTCCGGTTCAGTGATGCTGTGTGTAGCTGTGTAGTATGGGTGACCTCCGTTCCTGCACACAGCCAATCTGGAACCAATGGGATACCTACAATTAAGTGATTTTCCTCTTCAAAGGAAGGAATGGAGTTGTTCTAATAGAGTCAGTAAGGATCCAGAACCAAGACGGCTCTCATTTGATCCTAGAGGGTTTGGCAGTAGCAGAAAGGGAATTTATCTGAAAATAATCCCTGTGAAAAAAGGACAGAGGCGGGGAAACAGCAGAAAATGAGCAGCCAGCAGAAATGCACCCGGAGCCCATGATAAGATTTGCTGAATGGTGAAGTGAGAATATTGGAAAGGAGAGTGACATCTGAACACCCGAAGAGTACAGATGGGCCCTGACCCACAGCGGTGAATGCGTTGGATGCGGTGAATTCCAGCACCAAAGGGCAGAGCTGTGCTGTTCCTACCGAGTGTCACTCATTAACTGCATGGCCCACAAGGGAAACAAAACTCTCTGTAAACACCTGGCCCATGGAAATGGGTCTCTGATGGTGGCGATGATTGGTGCACGTACGGACGGTGGTGATGAGCGGTGGTGATTGAGCAGCAATTGTATGCAGGAATGTGGCAGGAGAGGGAAAAGGGCCACTTGTCTTGATTGGCATCGCCGTGAAATTCGATAGCGTTAATGAGCCGCTTAAAACTTCCTGGAAAACACATTGCCAGGCCACGGAACGCAATGCCATCTCTGATTGAGAGAACTTCCACGCTCTCAGGTAAATAAAAAGGGAGCAGTGCCACTCCTGTGCATTCAGCATCCCTGCAGGTGGACACCAGTGTGTTTCCAAAGGGGAGCACAGCAGCTCAGGCTTCAGGATAGTTCCTTCCAACACCGAAGCCAACGAGTGCCTCTCCATGAGGTAAACCAAATGGGAATTAAATACAGTTCCTTAGATTGGAAGGAGGTAATTCGGTTTATTACATTTGCCTTTCAAACCGAAGCAAGACACGTTCAGTTTGGCACTTTAAAAACTACTCCCATCCACTTTCACATCCAGCCTTACTGAACTGCAGACCTTCTCCTGAGTGCCCTTTGACAGCCAGACTGGATTTCAGCCACCCAACCCCTGCCTGCAGCCAGCTGAAGGCAGATCCAGGTAAACCCGTCTTGAAAGCTGAAGGAGAGGAACCTCTTGAGCAAGCTCCTTGCCGTTGTTTAACCAGGTCTTAGCTGCAGGCAGCTTAAAAGCTTCTCCTCAATAAAACCTCTCATTATCCTGTTCTAAGAACAATAAATCGTTAAGATGGATGGACTTTTGTCCTGGTATCCACTGTGCTGTCCAACCCTCTGAAGAAATCTGGGTGGCTGCAGCACCGGAGGCAGCAGGGGAAGCTGAGAACACTCCTATCGTGTGACATGAGAGAAGTTCTTGAGGCCCTATTTAGAAGATTAGGGATCTAATTTCATCTTTTGTATGAGAATCCCATCTCTGCAATGCCCGGTGACGACAAAACTGTGACTGCAAAAGGGAAACCAAGGGAGCTCATCCATGAGAGGCACTGCTGTGCACTGCAGTGTGCATCAGCCTGGGATTCCCAGAGGAGGGCTCAGGAATGAGCTCTGGAAGAACAGGGATGTGCAATGTAGGGGGAAAAAAAGCTCCATTTGAGCCAAGGCCGAAGGAAATGGCTCAGAATCAAACATGTCAAGGACTGGAAGTTATCCATCCCCAAATTCTTCAAACCCCCTGCAGGATGCGTGTAGGGAAGAGAGGCCCCGAGGCTGTTTTTGCAATATGGAGCTTTATCACTGAAATCTAGACGCAGAAATGCATTATTCCACAGGATAACCACAGGTTGTATTGAGGAGAAGCAGTTACACACAGC